GGATAGTGTGTATGTGCATATAAATTTCAAAATAAGTTCTGAATTCCTCAATGGCTAAGACAGTATGTATGGAGAAATATCGCACGCATATACACGCATGATGACAAGTTTTTACCAAAATAGAAACGAATCCAAGAGCACATAAGGGTCCACTAAAACATTAAAAAGATAAAATGCCGACAATCACTGCTGGAACAACTTAATTGTTTTATGACCTTACAGAATTCTTCATTGACTATTCTAGAAAGAAATTGATTACCAACACACAAACAGAGAATGTCTCATATCGAGAATATCTCACATTGAACATGAAGGAAAATTAATTATTTTAATAATATCATTTTAATAATATGGTAGAAATCTCACTTTTACCTGAAAGGCTGTGGCGAGACCAGAAACACGTGTCGTAGAAAGTAAAATTAAATAAAACAAAGCAAAATTTTTCTAAATAAATCCATTACAACCAAAAAAAAACTTTTTATATATTATGTTTTCTCTAGAACTTTTGGAATACATACTTTTCTCTCGTTGGAATATATATATATATTTATTTTATATATATATATATATATATAAATATATATATATATATATATATATATTATAATTTATACATGAAATTCTCCCAAAACTGTTATTATAACTTCTGCTTATTACATCAATTACAAAAAAGACAAACAAATGAAATCTACTTCCACTCCATGTTCTTTTTAAATTTTACATCTGACATTCATAAAAAACATAAATTTTCCAAATTGTTTGGATTCACAGTTTACATCCAAAATGCAAGAAAAGTGCAGAGTAAAAGCAAAATTAAAAGATAATGAAAATGTTTTCTGCTTTTTAATACAAAGACAAAATATTTTGAATGAAAAACATTGGAGGCTTTGTACAAAGGGATTAAGAAATTATTCTCAATGTTGCTTTGAAAAAAAAAAAAAGTTAAGTATGTTTCCCTACTTTGAATCTGTTACTCTTGTCCAATATACAAATGGAAATAACTGCATTAAGTAGCAGAAAAACAAGTAATGGCATTTATGAAGTCAGTCAATTTTTAAGTATTGGAGTCACATAACAGGTAGTTCATCAATTAATGGTTCATGAATAGTATGTTTCTAAAATCAGTAAACAAATTCTTTTGGTTGTCATAAAATGAGAATGTTTATACTTGTCTTTTCATCCTATTTTCCTCAAAATAAAATTCTATTATTTTGGCTTTTATAATCCAACATAATACTTGATAACTTTCTAACACTCCATTTTTATTTCATCAACCTATAAAATTTTTAAAATTAATTGCTTAAATTTAACTGAAAACAGTTTCAAATACCTTAAGAAATGAGAAATTCTAACAAAAATAAAACATTTGATGAAATTACGTGATAGTCACATTAATTCTAAAGTGAAACAGGTAATCTGAATAGTTATATTAATATCAAATTTTGCTTATATATTAACAAAGGATATTAACTATTTGTTAATTAGGATTAATTCCAAGATTAACCAAACTGTTTTTTTTCTGAAAGTAGTTGAGAAATGTAATTAAATTCACTATTATGTGTAGTTTAATGAAGTTTTATATGAACACATACACAGACTGAGCTCAGATTCTAAAATGCATCTGCAGGTCATGTGATATGAAGACACTCAATCCAAGTATCTGTCAACAGTGGATATATTTGTCACAGTTTAGACACAATGTTATCGAGTGTAAACATGAGAAAGATCAAATTTCACTGGCTTGGAAATAGGTCCCAATCAATCCATAAAGCAATACAATGTAGATTTGTTTGTTTGTTTTTTATTATACATGAATATTGATTAAATAAAAAAAAAAAAGTGTTTACCTTAAGTGAACACGTGCTTAACAAAATAGATTACTGTAAGTTTACAAAAAAAAAAAAAAAAAAAAAAAAAAAAAACACATAGCTGATACATTTTAGAAGAAAATATAATAACAGTCAATCAATTCAAATATACATGCACATACACACAGGTTAACAATGGCTAATCCAAACGGTTGAAATCTACTTTTACCAGTTATAATTTCAGCAAGCATAATTTGTTAAAAGCTATTCTCATAACAACTGGAAGCATTTACATTATTTGGACTATTGTCCTCATCTTCATTGTCATATTCACAATGTTTCGAACATTGTATGATCCAGCCTTCTTCAGGTATAATGGCTGAAACATTGTGAATATGACAAAGATGAGGACAACAGTCCAAATAGTGTAAATAGTTACAATACTGCCTCTCAGGAAAAAAAAAAAATAGAAGTGGAAGCATATTCAAAAGAAAGATGTTAGCATTCAAATAGAATCTGTGGTTCAAGCCTTAAATATAGGATCATGGAAGTAAACCACCAAATCAATTTAACATTTGTAAATATGAAAAATCAAAGTTTGAACAGACTAAAAACCACGTCATATAATCACATTTTTCAACCAACCAATTTTTTTGTTTTATAATGATGCTTACCCTGTACAAGGCCCAGGAGCCACTCGAGGTAGAGGGTTATTGAGTAATAGGCACAGTTTATGGGGATGTGTGGAGAAGATAATGGTCAACCCTAGATTTGGGCAGGTTAAGATTGTAATAATTGACAAAGCATCCTCTTGTAAGTCAGATCCACAAAGCAGTGGTTTGTGGGAAAAGTTTCTCAAGTGGAACTTAATTTCAGCAATGCAATATGAAGTGAGTAAAGGTGGTTCACTACAATGTGCATGGCATCATGGGAAGAGGATTGATGAAAAATGAATAACAGTTGGGCATCACTGCTGCCATTGAAGTCAGCAAGGTGTCATCTCCCAAACAGTCTGTTAACTCTGAAGCACACAGTTGAAGAACCTTCACAAAAAAAAAAAAAAAAAATAATCATTCAAGCATTACAAGAAACATGCTTGAGAAAATGAACTGTGAAGAAATTCCTAAAAGATAGTTTATTCAAGGCTCTGGACTGATTCATCAACAAGCATCCTGTGAGTTGGTTATATCAGATCAGAACTTGGGAAAGACAAAAGGAATCCAATAATCATTCTTGCTCAGTGCTACATAGCAACCTTAGTGGTGAGACAATAATTCAACATTAAGGGTGTCTTTTCACTGAAGGAGCCATCTGTACCACTGGATTCTGGATTACCGGTGACAAGAGATATGTGAGCAGCACCATTTATTACTGTTTCACATGCCAGAGACTGTGATTTTGAAATACAGAAAATTGTCAAGCTTCAGCAGACTGCCTGTTCCAAGCCCCTCTTTACCAACATTGGCTTAGATATATTTGGTCTGTCACCTCATGCAGAACAATGAGGAGCTATAACATTTACTTGCAGGAGCATGAGAGCAGTACATATCAAAATCACAGCTATTTCTTTATTTGTGGTCCAGTACAACACACTCGCTCAGATTGTGGGACAAATTTCTGGTTCCTGTAAGGAGAAAAAAAAAAAAAAACCTGACAGAACAAATCTACTCTTGGACATGTCAATCCTTTTCAAGCCTTACATATAGGTAACATTTGGAAAAGGTGTGATCAAGAAGATTCTAGAAAGCAACTTTTCTTAAATGGTAGTAGTTCCTAAATAATCAACCATAAAAAAAAAAAAAAAAAAAAAAAAAAACACACTATTTGGCTATTTCCACCCTCTGCAACTTTGTTATTTATTGTTTTAAATGAAGCTTTCCCTGGTCTCTTTCTCACGTGTTTTGCAGCAGAAAGTATATTTTCTTATAAGATTCATTCATTAAAAAAAAAAAAAAAAAAAAAAAGATGACATCAATGTTATTTGTTGAATTTATTACAATAATATAAGACATTATCCCTGAGATTATGAGAAAGAGAAAGAGTAATAGAGAAAACTGGAAAGTTGAGAAAAAACAAAATTTAAGCTCATATCAGACAGCAGTTGATCGAGCTGGATAACTGAGACATGTTGAATTTAAAATTTACTGTCACCTAATTTCTCTTAATAGAGTAATATTTATAATACATAATTGCAATAAAATCATAGAAATTATATAGTTTATAAGCATAATTATAATTTATGAAATTTATTGTAGAATACATGAAGGCCTGCCTAAAAGTAATGGCAATATTTGTAGTAATAGTTCAAAGATGATTAATTGACTTCTCTATAGTAATGGGAGTTGAATTTATAACAAGTCTTTATTCAGTAATGTCAGGACAAATAGCTTTATTTTGTATTATAAAAATAAAGTTATTTCCTTAAATGTAGAATATATAATTACAAAATACTTATAAAATAAGTTTCCTTAAATGACAGAATTTACAAGTAATCTGCACATAAGGAATTATCACATAGAATAGAAATGTCAGCTAATAACTTTATAGAAGTGTGGCTGATTAGATTCCGAAGGAATAAATTCAAAATAAACCACATGAATGAAGTTCAGAAAGATCCTGTCAGAAGATAATATGACTCATTTTCATTAGCTCTCTAGAAATATCTAGAATGTAAGAGAAGCTGAGACACATCATTGATTGGGGCACACAGAATTTGGTTTGTCAAAGAAGTTATTCTTTACAATATAATGAATACACTGTAAAATCATATTCCGCTCATGACGAATTTCTTTGGCAAGGAGCTGAAGAAAAAAAAACAAAAAAACATTAAGAGAAAATATAAAACAAAGTAGAATAGTAAATAAGTTCAACTGAAATGATATATATAATTCAAATCCTTTGCTGAATTATTTTAACAGATTTAATGAAATGAATTTTAATTCTCTCATTACTCAATTATGCTCAGTATTTTTTGTGCTAATTTGCTTTTTGGGAATTACTATGAACAGAGATTGATTGTTTGTTTTACCAGCACATCAACCCCTGTGGGTCATTTAATGATGAAACTGAATTTAAAATGGTTTTTGAAATATCACAAGTTGTATAGTTCAGGAATATTTCAAAACTTAAGTTGTATTGTTCAAAATCCAAGCTCTATTTTCTATAGAAGTTGGAAGTATTTTATTTTCTTCAGATATCCATTTAGGCAGTAGGTGCATTTTTGAAGAGCATGTTAACATTTTGTGCTTGATAATAGTTACTGTATTTTTTGTGCTTCTTACATTCTATCAAAATATTTTTGACTGTGAGAAATTGATTGCAGTGAGTACACCGAGGTTTAGTTTCTGCCTTGAGAGAGTGTGTGTGTGTGTGTCCAATTCTTATTCTGTTGAGCACTATGTATTGCTAATGGCTCTATATTCTCCTTTCTTATTGTCTAGGCTGATGTTCATATAGTTTATTGTTTTACCATTTTCTTTTGATGTGTCATGTAATTTTGTTTTATAATCTGTATATGGAAGTTTGATGTTGGTTATATTTATTTTTGTTGACTCTTTTGCCAGTGTGTTGGCTTCATGATTTCCCTTGATGCCCATATGGCTAAGAATCCAGGCCAATGTTATTGTTTTGTGCTTTATTAAATGACAAATTTCTAAAATTTCTGAAATATAAGGATGATTTGTGCCCTTTTCTTTAATTGCTGTTAAACTAGATTGGAAATTTATAATATTCTCATACTCCCTATCTTTTGAATTATCTATCATTTTTAGTGCCATTTTTATGGCTTTTAGTTCAGCTGTATAGATGGGTGCATTATTTGGTAGCCTGGTTTGTTTGGGAATTTGTCTGTTTGTGCCTGCTACACCTATTCTATCTAGAATTTTTGATCCATCTCTGTAGAATGGTTTATAGTCATGATATTTGTCTTAATTCTCTGAATAGGCTTTTGTTGGTTGTATCATTTTTTTTTGTGTGTGTCAATGTTAAGTTTATGTGAAGTTTGGAGATTGTCCATAGAGCTACCTTATTTATTGTGACTGGTGTTACATTGTAAAAATCTTCGTTTATTTGTTCTAGTACTTCTATGATTCAAAGTCCAAATGAAGAGATGGCTGTTGGTTTATTTCTATAGAACTGGATATGTTGAAGTTCATATGTTTTTATAGTATACTGGTTTATTTGGGTTGGATTGTGATTTTAGTGCATATTGGAGGGATAATTTTTCCCATCTCAAAAATATAGGTAGTTCATTGGCTTCTATATATAGACTTTGCATGGGTGAGGTCTGGAAGGCTAAGAGACTTAATCTCAAACCTTGATTTTGTATGGTTTGTAGTATTTTTAAGATAGAATTTATGTATGACACTGTAAATAAAGCATCCAGAGTCTTGTTTTGATGTGTGACCTATATATTCTGAGCATTACTTTTTGGTCAGCACCCCAATCCAGTTTTGATATTACCTTTAAAAGCTTCAAAACCTTTTAGCATTTTTGCTTAAGGTAATCAATGTGCGATTTGAAGTTAAGTTTGCTATTTAGTATGATTCCTAGATATGGGAATTATGTGCCTGTTTAAATTTAATTCTGAAATGCATAAAAACAGTTTTTGTTTTGGAGAAATTAAATCCATTTTCATTTGTCTATTTTTCTGTCTTGTTTAAACATATTTGTATATATCTTTCAAAGGGAGGCATGTTTGGTGATGAGCATGATATTAAGAGTTCACACACACACACACACACACACATATAGATAGATAGATAGAAGGTTCAATTCCTGTATTATAGTTTTAATACTATTTATTTTGAGAATAAATATTGTAACTGATAAAAATGCTACCTCAAGGTACTGCTTCCTGCTTGTGTATGTCTGATGCGTTTCCATTTCGTACTTTGAATGTTTGGTTTGATAGGAAGTTTTGGATAAATATAGCCATTATTCCTTTTATTCCCATCATATGCTTATCTTTTAGGATACTATACACTTCCATGTGGTGTCATAGGCTTTTTCAAGATCAAAGAATATTGATACCACATGATGACCTCAAACAAAGCCATCGCAAATAAAGAATCCTAGCCAAACATGTTGATCATTGGTCCCTTCGTTTTTCTGGAATCTACTTTGGTTACTAGATAAGAGATTGTTTCTCTCCAAGTACCATATTACTCAAGCATTTACCATTCTTTCCATGGTCTTTCAAATGCAACTTGTTAGTGCAATGGATAGGTAATTTGTTGGGTTGGAATGGTCTGCCAGATTTAGGAATTGAAGTGATGATTAATTCAAGCCATAATTTTGGAAAATTGTCTGAACACCCTATGTAATTGAAGATCTGGAGAGGGTTAAAGAGACTTTTCTGGTAGATTTTTTAAACATTGGTAGTGAATTTAATATGGACCAGTTGCAGAGTTTTACTGTTTATGGAGTCTTTTAGTTCTGTTATAGTAAAGAGAATATTGTATTCTTTATTGTTTGAAGTGAATACAACTTTTTCTTGTTCCATGTTTTTATATTTATGAAATTTAGGTGTAATGATTTGAAATTCTGCTGCTAAGTTAGCTATTTCTTATTTTACAGAGCATTTATCTGTTTGTTTTGGTTAAATGGACTGTAGCAGTTTGTAATGTTTTTCCATTAATTTTCCTTATTATTTCCCATGTTTTATTTATTGAGATTTTGTTGTTTAATTTGGAGATGTAGTTTTTCCAAGTTTCTCTCTTGGATCTTTTAATTATACAGTGTGCTTTAGCTCAAGCTTGCTTGTAGTTTTTATAGGTTGATTGTGGTTGGGTTGTGTAAGAATATCTTTAGCATTTTTTCCTGGTTTTAACAGCTTTTCTTCATTCTGCTGTGAATCTGGGTTTTGATTTGGTTTAAAGAAAGATTTGGGTATTGCCTGTCTTCCTATTTTTTGTTAGTATGTTTATAAGAACTATTGATTCTGATTCACTGAGAATTTACATGTTGATTTGGGATGAATTTTAGTCAGCTTTTTTGTGGTTGCCATTTTGGATTACTTTCTTCTGACATAGGCTTGCTTATATTTAGGAAAATCGATGAATCGTCACTACCACATTGGTCATGAACTTTCCATTACAAATCCATGAAAATTAATGGAGAGCATATGGTTAAGTCGATGGCTGATGTTGATCCTTTACCTGGGTGTAGGTACGTGTGCATTTGGTTTTAAGTATACATAGATCAGATGATTCGAGAAATTTTATAATTTTACTGGTTTGATCTAGGGCTCCCACAGCCTCACATTTGGCCGTGTGCATTAAAATCTCCCATTAGATAAAGGGAGTGGGAAATTGGCTAATTAGCCTTACCATTTCACTCTTATTCAGTCTGTGTTTTGGAGGAATATAAATTGAACAAAAGTTATTTGATGAATTGAAACTTTTACTGCCATGGTCTGTAGATTTGTATTTAATTATAGTTTTCATGCAGAATTGATTTTTAACCAATATTGAAGTACATTCCCACTCCACTTGGCTTATTCTCAATTGTTGATAAATTTATTTTGCGGTATGTTTCATATCCTTTAAAGGAGGTTTCCTGTAAGCAGACTATATTTGGGGTTGTAATCTATAAGGAATTGTTTGATTTTCTCATAGTTTGGTTTAACATCTCTACAGTTCCATTGTATGATGCTAGTGTTCCATTTGTCCATTTGAGTGGTAATTATTTTTATTTTTGTGAATGGATCTTAAGGATGACTATGTTTTTGGTTTTTGTATTAAGTATCCATATTTCCTTTCTATTGTAAGATTTTTGTTTTGTTATGCCATCTTGTTTATGATGTGTTGAGGGTGTAAAATCCATTTGGATTTCCATTTGTCCAAATTTTTCAAACTTCTTGATTGTCCTTGTTTGGCTATTTTCAGTTATTTTTTTTGTCTTTTTTTACTGATTTCTGTTCCGTTCTTTTCCTTTTCTTCAGTAACTGGGCTACAATTTGGTACAGATATTTCTATATTCGTTATGTTGTTTTTCTTTTAGGTATTAATGAGATTTTTCAATTCATTTATTGATGTTAATATAAGTTGTTACATACATACAAACAAACAAGTAATCAATACAAAGATGCATATTTGTTTTGATGCCTAAACATAAGCATCACATCAGATGATGAACAAAGATGGTTATAAATGATTTTATTTAAAAATGCTACTTATGAAGCATCACTTTCTACATTTTTAAAATTTAGGAAGCTATAAGAATTTCCATAAAAGAAATAATAATATAAGCAAGTTAAGGCAGAAAAAAAGAAGAGGATAAGAAATCAATAAAAGGAAAAAAGAAAGAGAAATAGAAAAGGAAGAAAAAAAATTTTTTTAAGCGTTTCACCTCAAGCAAGGCGGGAAGCCACTATGACGCAAGGGGTTACAGAAGATTTGGAACAAGATCAGATAGGAAAGGATGAGGAGAAGGATAGTGGATAGATCAAGGCAACTGGAGATGTCGATTGACATTACATTTGAATAGTTGGAGATTATAGCTCTCAGGAAAACTGAAACAGGGAAGGGAGTTCCACAGCCAAGAGGTGCGAGATATCAAGCTATTGGAGTAGAAGAGACGGCTACATTTAATAGTTTCAACAGTGAAAGGGTGAGAGCAGGATGCCAGCCTCGAGGGCGCTTTGAATTCATGAAGTCTGGGAACCAGCGAATGCAGCTCCTCGGAGCAATTACCATGAAAGTATTTGTAAAAAAGACAGAGAGAGGCGACGGCGCATCTAGATGAGATGCCAGAACAGGGCCAATTATATTGCATATCTGCCTCTGGATCTTATCAAGAACCCTGAGGCAAACAGAAGGGGCTCCAGACCATATATGGCAGCAATACTCCATGCAAGGGTGAATTGTTGATTCGTAGATCTGATCGATTCCAGGGAGAAAAATTTCCTGGCGCGGCACAGGGAGCCAACTTTCCTTGCAGTGGACGAAGCAATTAACTCAATGTATTTGTTCCATCTCAGGTCAGTAGTCAATGTGAGACTGAGCAGCCACAGAGAGGTGCTCTTGAGAAGTAGAGCATCAGACATTCTAATGGGGGGCAGGGAAGGATCTCTGTGGTGATTAATAGAGAGCAGTTTTGTTTTTGAAGCATTAAAGTTGACCAGCCAAATCCTGCCCCAGTTCACAACTGATTGGAGGTCCTTTTCGAGACGCACGGCCAGGTTAGTTTTGTCAGCGACACTAGATTTGTTTTTGAGGCAGGAGTAAATTGTAGTGTCATCCGCGTAGATGCCAACTTGGGAATCTATGGCGTCAGGAAGGTCGTTGATGAAGATAAGGGATAGAGTAGGGCCCAGGATGGAACCTTGAGGAACACCTGCATTCGTGGGATAGGAACTGGAGGAGAATCCATTGAGAATGACCTTCAATTCACGGTTTGACAGGAATGATTGTATTAGGTCAAACAATCGACCTGTAATACTATAACCCTGGAGCTTGTGAAGAAGACCAGCATGCCAAACCCTATCAAACGCTTCGGAGATGTCTAGGGCCACGGCACAAGATTCTCCGTTATTTTGAAGAGCTTGGTAGACAGTTTCAGTGATGGCCGTAAGCACATCAGCTGTAGATTGGGCAAAGCAGAAGCCATATTGCTTGTCTGAGAGCAGATCATGGGATGTAAGGTGGTTAACCACTTTGGCATTGATTAAGGCTTCGAAGACTTTGACAAAGAGGGGTAGGAGACTGATAGGACAGTAATTAGAAGGGTCAGAGGGGTCGCCAGAGTTCTTGAAGACAGGAACAATCGATGAGGACTTCCAGCAGTCAGGAAAACAAGATTTCTTGAGGCAGTAGTTATATAGTTTAGAGCTAAGGCGCGCATTTCTTCAAGACAATGGCTGATATCCCATCCCCACCACTAGCCTTGTTGGGGTCTAAATTGGAGATAATGCCCAATACCAAAGATGGGGTTATGTGTAACCCGCTCAATAGGGCCTCAGTTCTAAGAGGGAAGTCGGGTATGGGTACACCAGAAGAGACAAGCGTTGAGTTGAATGAAAATTTCTGAGCAAAGCATTCAGCCTTGTCAGCAGAGGAGGTCAGGACCTCGAACTGGTTGAACAAAGGAGGTATAGTACGCTCTTGCAGAGATGCCGATAATCTTTGGAGCCAAATTTGCGTGATGCAATACGCTCCTTCATCCAAGCAGCAAATAGTGACTTAGCTTTGTTGAGGACATGCTTACACTCGTTATGGGTAAAGGCAAAGAGACGTCTATTGCAGTCTGACATGTCACTACGAAATAGGTGAAAGACGTGGTTCCTATGGGCAATGGTGGCTGAGCAAGCAGTGGAGAACCAAGGGGATGAGTGCGACTTGATCCTATATTTCCTTGAGGGGATGAAAGTGTCGATTCCAGCTTTAACCCAGGATGAGACCTCAGAAGCACATTCTTGGATGGGGAGCGTAAAGACACGATCCCTGGGGACATCGTGGAGGAAATCACGGAACGAGTCCCAGTCAGCTCGTTGATAGTAGAACAAAGTTCTAGCGGTAGGAGATTCTTTGCAGGGGGTGGAGTTGAAGGAGATGTTAACAGATACTATAACATGATCGGAGTTACCAAGAGGGCAGAGTTGCGTGGCGCTACAAGACTCGGGGATGGAGGTAAAACACAGATCGAGAAGAGAGGCCTTAACTTCCCAGTTGTAGGCAAAACGAGTGGGAAAGTTAACTATCTGTGTGAGGGATTGAGAAACTGAAAAATTAAGTGTTTGAATGCCTGTGTGGTCAGTAGTAGCATTGGTATGATGGGCGTTAAAGTCGCCAAACACAAATATGTGAGCAAATGGATATGCTGTCAGAAATGCTATTGAGTATCCCACAGTCTTGAGAGGATGGAGAGTGATAAAGGAAGAAGAGATAGCTTACAGCATTGAGAAGAGATAGTACGACTGGTCTGGCAATTCGAGAGACAACTCTCTGGCCAGAGGGTCCTTGATGTTGACACCAAGGCTGTGCATGTGGGTTACAGAGTCTTTTCTGAGGAGAGGAAGGTAGCCGGGGATTGAGAGATCAGAGAAGGGGATAGACGAGACAAGGTTGGTCTCACAGAGAGCCAGTATATCCAGTTAGTTTGCAGTGAGGAAAGATTCCATACTGCAAAAGTTTGTTCTAATGCTACGGATGTTGGAGAATGAAATGTTGAAGGGTTTAGGTGATTTTTGAGGGGCTGGTTCAGGATTACTTTTTCGGTCTTTGTAAGTCATCATGTGGAATTATGGTTGGAAGATGAGAAGGCCTGAAGTAAAAGAGGCAGACAGTTATCGACCATGACATGGGCAGAGAGGAGCTGGGACAGCCTGCATCATAATGTGGCCTCAGGGTTGCCCACCAGAGATGACTGCAGGGACACCTTTCCATGCGTGACATGGCACTACAAACACCCCGGTATTATACAACTGTTGATCAGAGCGGCTGCTCAAGATGCTACGCAAGAGTTAGGGCTCCTAACTACCAGTCGGAAACAGCAACCAAGGAACTGTCAACCGTGTACCCTCAGAATGAAGAGGTAATGCCACAGACTGCACACTTCACAGGAGAAACACAGCTGCACTAGTACAGAGGCCAGAGAGAGAGAGAGAACCGGGAACCCCTTCCTAAACAAGAAACAATGTGTGAGCCTCTACTAATGTCCAAGAGAAGGGGGAGAAGTGTTGACCGGGCGGTAGGAAAGCCTACCTACTCCTACACACATTATATATGTGTATGTATTTATTTATTATCTGGTTTTGTTTTTATTATTATCCTTTTGATGTCAGTCACTTTTTTTTTTTTAAACTGCTTTAATCTCTTCTACAGTACAAAGTGACAGAACTCCATTAGGAACTACACTTCTGGAGTTATTTAATCTTTCATGTGGGTATGCATTTACATTAATGTTATGGAATTTTCCCCATTCTTAACAGTATGCTTGCATGTTTTTTATTTTGTATTTCTATCAGGATGGTTCCATTTTTTAAGCTTTTTTTTTTTTACTGACTTAGGATTAACCATTGAGGATATAACCCTCTATACCAGGAATGGTGATAATTTAGTTTGTGAGACCTCCTCCTCTCTAGATTCTAGTATTATGAATCTAGGAAAGAGTACTTCATGTGGAGTCTTGGGTTTATGTTTCACTGACTGTACTCCCCTCTCACTACAATGCAAAGGGGGAAGCCCATTTGCCTTGGCAGATCAGGGCTACACAGTCAGCATACTCACATCATGAGTCAATAATTGTTTAACTTCCTAATTCTTATTCCCCAAAGTTAACTTTTTCCTTAGGAGGCATAGTTTGAAACAATCACCTTTTATTAACATGATTGACCCCGCAGCCACTGTCTTCCGATTCAGCTTTTTCCAGAGTGTAGTGCAACCAGCCAGTTGATTGGATCAAGCCTCTCCAACCATCCGTCTAGCCTAAGTAAAGGCCAAAGTGACGTGTTGGGACTCAGGAGTTAAATCACTCCTCTTCCTGAAGCCCTCAATCACCAATATCCCATCCCCAGGTATCAAAGGTCACCACCTATGGTCAAGAGGTGCCTCTTATTGGGGTTGGGTCACACCTCTGCAGAGCCCCAACTGACAGGGTGAACTATCAACAGAGAATTTCAATATTTTATTTGTTTTTTTTTTAATATCATTAAAAAGATGACAATTTGTGTCATACAATTTACACATGGGGAGATTTGTGAACAGTTCAAACTTTCCATGAAGACATGCTTAATATCACCACTGTCATTTGCATTTCTTCAGAAAAGTTAAATCTAAGCAAAGAGAAAAGCTTAAATTGCAAGATCATCAGTATCGATCAAGTAAATTAGCATCCACTACATGTGATCTCTCATAATAATTTCCTTCAAACTAAAAGGAGTTAAATTATCAGCTGAATGGCTTAGTGGCATGGAACATGCTATCAGCAGGCCAAATTAAAATTCTATCCAAAGCTACTGTGTTCACTATGTAATTATGCCCTTCGGAAAGGCATGAATCAATCCCTCCCCTGCTACCATCTTTAAATAATAATTTAATATTATTAAATAGTAAGACAATTTTAGCCCTGGTAGGAGAATGACTGAAGTCACTCTTCACCAATATGAGCTGTCATATCCTGATTATTAAATATGGAGAAGGCTTGAGCCTTGTAGTGGATTGAAACAATAGCTGATATCAATTAAAAATAAATTTGGTAAATTAGATAAAAAAAATTTTAATTACCTTTTCCAATAAAGTTGGTCGATCCCTTTTGAAGACTTTACTGTGCCAGGGTCTTTTGGCAAGTTCTTGAGCCTCAAGTCTCACATGATTTTCAGATCTTTGGTGGTGGTTGCTGGAATTCTTCCACTCTTTCAAAATGGTCATGTTACACTGATATTCAGTTGATGGCACCAAATTTTCATTAGCATTTACATCTGGAGAAGGAAAAAAAAAAAAAAATGAAGCTTTGGTGTTAAATTGGCCATAAATAGACAAACTTTGATCCAAGATTAATGCAATTGGTATATTTATTAACTAGCCAACAATTTGCTTGTTGTGAAATTCCTAGATAGATACTTTTCCAAACTTAAAAATTAGCATTTGAAATTAAACTATTTAAACATTTGTGATATACATTTTTCTTTTTTCAAATATTTTGTAAAGAAGAGTGTTTACTTTTTGGGGCTCTCAAAGTAAGGAAAGAATATTTGAGACTTGGATGGTACATACAGGGCATGAACAAAGAAAATGGAAAGAAAGCATATAAAAACAACTTCTGAAAACCCCACATACAGGGTGCGATGGGTAAATTGTCGCCATTCTATATTTTTTAATTTTGCACGTGTTTTTTGTTTTCAATTTGGTTGACTACACAGTATAGTAGGGTCAGTTGGGCACTGACTGTGAGAAAAAGAGCACCACAACACAATTCAATCTGCTAGAAATTTGGAAATGGCATGCTGAATTTGCTTGGCATTCATGCCAGAAGCTCCAATACAAACATTTCAGAGTGTTTGGGTGTCAATCTGAGGACAATGCAGAGGATTCAGAGAGAGTTGGAGGAGTCTAATGGTGATTATGAAAGTACAGCAACTTGGAAAACTCACTGATCGTTTTGATAAGAAAAGAACTGCTGAATTTGTGGGTGAGATCCAGGTTATGATTGACAACGATCCCTCCAAGTCAATCAGGTCCATAAGTGAGAGACAGGAGTATCGGAGTTTCTTATTAGGCAGGAAGTACATGAAGACATTTGGTATTTCCCCATACGAGAAAGGGCCAATTTTTATCCCAAGCAATGAAGGACAAGAGGAAAGACCATGATATGAAGCTACTGAACAAACTCAAGCATCCCCACCAATTTAACATGTTTTGGTTTTTCTCAGATGAGAAAAGTTTCTGCCAGGTTAAGATGGTGAACACACACAGTGTTCCTACAGATCTGTGTAAAAAAAAATTCCAGGACTTTTCAAGGACTATGTTAAGTTTCAAGGATTAAAACTCATTACACAAAGTGAATGGCCATCAATTTTAAAAACACAAACTTTGTGATTAATCTTTTAATAGTTTGACAGATGAGATGTTCAAAGAAAAGCTACAGCTGGTTCCAATAATTCATGCTGCATGGATCAGTGAAGAAATCCAAATGTTGAATGCTAAAAACACAACTGAATGCAGACCAGTTTGGAGTTCTACTACACTTTAAAATTTTGAATTACACAATTCTTACTGCTACTCATTTCAGCTATTGAGGCTACTCATGGTTTGTGAATGTCACAAAAATTCCTGACTACTGTACATTTCCTGTGAAGTTATGTATAGTGGTTTTAATGAACAGAACTACAAATAGAAATTTAAAAAAAAAAAAAAAAAAAAAGACTACACATTTTAGCTACCCCTACTACTCATGGCTTTTGTTGAACATGGCACTGAACACAATAGCATTTTTTCAGTTCATCTAGTTTTGAATTCAGTTTCTCTTCCAATTTTGATATCTATGGATTTTTCCTTTGAAAATTTTTGCATGGCATTGGACTTTTTGATAAGTGTGAAGTTCTGAGTCCGCTCAGCTTTCTCCACATAGCTGTCAGATGACTTGAGAAAATCTTGTGTGTAACTTTCAATCTTGTGTTTCTTGGTCATCAGTTCTTCAATTTCTATAAACATAGATTTCCATTTTTGACCAGCTGCTTCTTCCTGCCTTTTTTACTTCTTGGGCTCAAGGTATTGGTTATATGCTGTTCTTGCATTGGAAGCACTGCAGAGAAGAACCTTAGTCATGGGAACATTCCCAGCATCTCCAACTGTGGTCAAATAGTCTGTGATAATGCGCTGTGTGACCAGAGCCTGCCATTTCATATTGTCAGTGAAAATTTCCTTATGGACTGAGAAACCTCTCCCCACTAGACAAAGAAGAATAGAACAAAGTGTCCAAACAATCTTCATGCTTGCTGAAATTCTTGAAAGCAATATTTCCAGTAACCTCCCCATTGAAATCTTTGTACTGACTGATGATGTCATCACAATTAGACTTGCTGACTTGTTTTCTGTCCATCATGTGAGAAAGAAAGCTTTTTAGACTGTCTTCTGTGGCAGATACTTTTTCACAAATGGATCCAGCGTTCAGCCATGCAAGAGGGTATCTAAGAGGAAAATTCACAAATTTGATGACATCTGGCTAGACATCTAGGAGTTGTTCAGATGTCTGTACATTTTTTAGCCATCTATGATAAAAATACAAAAGTAAAGGGACATGGTTGCCAGATTGAACTTTTAAAGCCAAGCAATTAAAGCCAAATAAGTTTTAATTTCATCATTTTTTCACATTTACAACAAAAGCTAGAGATATAGGTCATTATTCCCCAGCAAACTTCTATCCTAAGACATCAAAAACATTTCTATTCTATCATTCTTCCCAGCTACATTTTCTTTAAGTCAAATATGATTCTCAAACTTGTTAATTTTGGCAACAATTTAGACCAGCGTTTCTCAATCTCAAGTTCCACAAAAGGTCCCAAGTGTTCCACAAGAACAAGCGAGATAAGCTAATGCACTTTTGACTTTTTATTTAATTTCATATTATTAAACACAATATATTCTTGGTTATTGTAATATAAATATCCTGTACAAGTGAAAAGTGAATTTGTGGAAAAACCATGTTGCAAAAGGAAATCTTGAGATGTTTTCACTACTTCTGGGACTTAAAAGTGAAAAGGGATATCAGAAAACTTCAAGTCTTATTGAATTTCATCTGGAGGAACTGTATCAGAATTGGAAATTATTTTCCTCCCTTTTCAACACAGGTGTATGATTGGGAGCAGGATCCATACTCTGAATCTGCTGGTCATCCTGAGAATCTAACATTAAAAGAGGAGAAAGAACTTTGGGAATTGCAGTGTGATCATACACTCAAGATTTACAGGCCTATCTCTGGAAAAGGCCTGGATTTCTGTGAAAGAAGAGTTTCCTACTACTAATAGGAAAGCAATTAATATATTGTTGCAGTTTTCAATGTCTTACATGTGTGAGCAAGTCTTTTCTTATTTAACAAAGCAAAGACAGAAATCATCTCCTCTCAATTGAGAATGAAATCCATGTGTGTTTATCTAAAGTTCGACCTTGAATTAAGTATTTGTGTAGCAAAAGACAGGTAGAGGCTTCACATTAGAGAAGCATGTTTCACTTTATCAAATGGCTGTGAAAGTAACATTTTCTTAGCCCATTTATTGTATTGATTCACAGGACATTTTGCCTTGATTTACCTTGTCATTTCGACATTGCCTTAAAAGCGATAAAAAAATAAAAAACTGATGCAGCAATTATCTGTTTACATTTTTATTATAAGTATATGATACTGGTTGTTTATGTTTATTTTTTACATTTGAAGTATTATAAATGAAAAGTATGAATTTTATTTAGCATTACCAAAAAATTTGACAAAGAAGTATTCATTTTTCTTTAAACCAGTAATTCAAAAATATATACTATGATATTTACCATGTGGACCACGATGAAAATAAAATGAGGAAGATATGGTATATAATTTTGTTTTTGCTCAGGGGTTCCTCGAGACATGTAATTTATTTTAAGGGTTGCAGAAGGATAAAAAGGTTGAGAAATGCAGATTTAGATAAACATAGCTTACATAGATACACAATAGCATGAGATGAAAGTATTTTCAGTATGAACTCACCCACTGCTGACTAGAGATTAAAAGGAATTTTTATTTTGACATGTGACTAACATTTCTTCAATTGTTCAGATTTTAAAAAACATTGATAATTTTTTTTGAGATTCTACTAAAATGTATTTTATTATTGTAAAATATTTTCCTTTCAACTACAAATTTAATGAGTGTGAATTAATTTATCTTTGCTTTTCCTCTTTTCTTGTTGAATGAGGATAATGTTTGGAGTGATCACTAGTGATGGTGGTGTTATGCCTCCATTCATCTTCCCACTCATACTAAACATGGAGTCCTATACCAAGTGCTTTGTGGAGGTAATACTGCTCTGGGCCAAGAGGGTGGTGGCTTCTGGAAGATTGTGTCTAGCAACAGGGCTCTGCACCATGCCACACAAGCAGAACCCAGTTGTGGTTAGACTGTCAGACAAATTTCTGCGACCACATCACCCCTTACATCTGGTCAATTAACTCCCCAGACTGCAACTCCCTTGATCATTATGTGTGGGGCACAGTTGAATGAGAGACCAACTAAACTCCTTGTAGCACCAAAGATGAACTGAAGGCAAGGATTATAGCCACATTCACCAACTGAAACAAGGAGACCGCCTGGAAGTGTTGCAGATTCCAAAGTCATCTGGAGGCCAATGGCGATTTTATTGAATAAATTTATTCTTTATTATTTCAAGATATTTTTGTGCAATTTTGGTAAATATATCTGTTAAAATGAGAGGTCAGTGTTATTTTCATTTTTGCTTAATTTGGACAATTTATCCATCGCACTCTGTATGTGTCTGAAACTGAAAATTAATTTTCTACAGTGACTCAAGAGTGTACTGAATCTTCTTTACTCCTTTCATTTTACCAACCAACAATTAAATATGATTGCAACAGGCTCAAGTTTATTTGAATAAACATCAAATATTAACAAAATTCAACTCCTCTGTTTAGAAATCAAACGTTCATTACTAACAAGACTATTTTGAAATTCACTTAGAAGTTAGATAATTAAGTGATTAATAATTTCAAATATTACATGTGTCCCATTTGTTACATCTGCATACACACTTTAGACACTAAATGTAACAACTATTATGGGATAGAGGTAGTACATAGAAAATTATGTTTGCTTTAACATTAAAGATATTTTTATACTTTTGGAAATGGCTAGACAAATTTAGTAAGTATAAGAATACAAAATAGATACAATGATATCATAGTTAATACAAAAGAAGAAATTGTTAGTTACCATTTACATCATCTTCATCAGATTTGTAAATTGTTTGAAGAGCTTTGAGACTGGAAGGCAAAGAAAGAGACTTTGATGTTGATTTATTCTCTTCATTAGAATCAGCATTATTGGAGAAAGTTACTGAAAGAGAAATAATGTTCTAACTGAGAATAAAAAAAGCATAAAATCAGAAGTACATAATATACATAAAGGGATTTATTCAATTCTACAGTCCACTAAATACTATGTAGTGAAAGATGACTAAACAGTATATATTTACTCTGATATTTGTCTATATTTCTGAGATGAGTTATTGTAACTATTTACAGATACATACTGGAGAAAGCCAAAGCTGCCCAAATCAATCATCACAAAACCAGAAGGGCTGGTAAATCAAAACCTTACAGAGAAATGACATCATTATCAGTTGACAAAGACAATGCAACTGTACTGATGAAGAAAACAGAATATACAGGAAAACTGGAAGACCCCATTAGAAATGGTAGCTATCATAAAGAAAGATCCAACAATGAAAGCAAAGAAAACTGTTGCAGATCCTTATTAAGAACAAGAACCACTTCCCACCTAAGACATACAGACATCGATATAGGGCAGGTGTGTGTGCGTCTCTCCGGCTAAAACTAAAACAGTACAATTGTTCATAACAAAGTAAATATGTATACAGACTCATTATCACCCAAGCCAGCTTTTTGTAAAAAAAAAAAAAAAAAAAAAAAAAAAAGATTATCGTATGATTAGTATTTATGAAGATTTTAAAATTAAAATGCATTAGAATGCATTCAAAATTCTCAGAATTACAAAGTAAAAACAATTTTTCCTTTTTTATTCTGCTAAAATCTATCCAAGTGTATATTTTTTAATTTTATTTACATAGAAAAGAAAATCTAAATTCCCCTCCAAAATAAATAGTAAATCATTTTTTGAAAAAGTAAGGCTCGCTATAGGTTTTGGCTTAGAAAGGAAAGAAAGAGATTAAATTAAATGTTTAAATATATCTTAATTTGTTTATTTACTTTTTTTATTAATAATATTTTGAAAAATGTTTAATTAACTTTTATCTAAGTTTGATATGCTTGAAAACAACATTAACAGAGTATTTATGTTAGTATTTAAATAAAAAATAAAGTGTCTTTTTGAATAAAAATATGGGGATGCTCAAACCGCTTAAAACCCCTCTCCCCGAGCATGGTATTAGCAGAGTGGTATTTTCCTAAATTTAGTTATTTTGTAACAAACTCAAAAAAAAAAAAAAAAAAAAAAAAAAAAATTATTTTTTAACAATTGAATAAAAATTATTTTCCAGAAGATGGCTGAAAAATATCAGTTGTCAATAATAAACTTTCAGAGACCTTCCAAGCTTCCATGTTATATGAACTACAGATCTGCCAAGTATCCCCACTAGTACTATGTAAAGAAAGGGATCAGTTGTTGCCTACAACATCAAGCAAAGCCATAAGTGGTGAACCAGAGACATATGAACAAGAAATGATCATTATAAGCAGTACTCTGCAACAACTACCCTGGGTACATGACAGCAGCCCCCACAAACTTGAATAGAAGTGTACTAGACGATAACAATACTCAGAAAATGGCCTTGATCTGCCTACCATATGTAAAGGGCTTATTGGAAAAGATACAAAAGATCTGTAGTTCATATAAACATCAGGACAACCTTCAGGAGGGCTTCAACACCATGCAGACATCTCTTCCAAGTAAAATCACTCATATAGGAGAACTTGATTAAGGACTGTGTAAATGTCATCCCATACAGCTGTGGCAAGAAATATAAAGGAGAAACAGCCCCCCGCCCTTAAAATAAGAACACTGTAAAACTGTAACACGAGGGGAAATAGAAAAATCAGGCATGGCTGACCATATATGGAGGGAAAGGGAGATTATCCCCCACCCCCAAACCATGGGTTGAAGTTAGAGAACATCACTGGAGAGCACGAAAACATCAGCACATATGCTAGGCTACAAAAAAATCACCTAAGCCAGCCAAGCATAGACATGGAAACCAGTAATACGGAGAGCAAGAGAAAGGCAACAATAACAAATTGCAATATGAGCTCTGGTAAAAAAAAAAAAAAAAAAAAAAAAATGGTTACTGAGACATTAGGTTTACATACAAGTCCTAAAAATTTACTCACTAGCCCATGTGTAACCAAGGACATGTGGCCCAGTGGAGAAACTGTCCAAAAAAGGCTTGCACATGGAATTAGAACAATCTACCTGAATAAAGGATCCGGTTCAAAATTCCAACGTATATCACCTGAAGAAGATCAAAGTGTACAACAGCTGAAATGTTGTGAATATGGCAATAAAGATGAAAACAACAGTCCGAATGATGTAAATAGTGTAAATATTTCCTCTGATATAAACAAGTTTCATATAAAGATTTATGGAACAGAATCTAAATTAAAAAAAAAAAAATTACAAAGTAGTAAAATTTCCTGTTGGTTTCATGTGCAAATTCAGAAGAAGAAAAAAAAAAAACAAAATCACTAATATATAACTGAAACCTAAAGAAATTTTTTTTATTTGCATGATAGATTTTGGGACGTGGGTTGAGCCGAGGACCTTTCACCCTTAACCCATTTGATAATTGAAATAAGCAAGGGCGTAGTTATTAAACTAAGTACTATTTGAACTATCCAACTCTGTACAATATAATCACCAATGGCAAATATAGAGAAAAATGGTGTGAAAAATAGGAGAAATAAGAATTGCAAACTAAATTTTACCTAAATCAGTATTCAAAATGGCTGACAGTGGATCAGAAGATTCTGTTGACGCACATGTCTCTCTTTTATCACAAATTTGCTATAACAGAAAAAAAAGGAAAAAGCAATATAAGAAATCCTAATTAAGATTCACATCATGTAAAGAATAAAAAATGGTTTCAAATCATAGTTAACTATGTTAATCTGAATGCATTTAATTTTACAACAAATATAAACACAATAGATTCACTTTATGAGCAGACCAGCAGATTTTGCATTCTGTATGCTATAAAATGGTTTTAAGTTCTTTAATTTTGTGCTTTTCTAAAAAGAAAAGGATTAAAAAATAAAAACAAAAGTTTTTAATACTATAAAAAATTGTCTAAACACAAGCAATCTTTTTCGTAGCTGAAAACAAGGAGTTTGAATACTATACAAATATTTTGTGACAAAGGTTGTACAGTAGGTAAGGATCATTATAGAATAATCAAAATTTCAAACCAAATGAAGATATACGTTTCTAAGTGTTGCAAATTAAAATCTGAAACAATTTTTTGGTATAATATTAATAACTTTCTGTCAAATTGTTTAATCTCAAAGATATATGGTAGATAAACGTTTGCTACTATGAGTTCAAAGCTATTTGTAAGACGATAATGAAAAAATATTCAGATCACTTTTAAGTCGAGTTCTCTTTTTACACTATATAGATGATAAACTAAGGCGGCAATACATAACAAGGGAATTAACTCAGTTTTGTTAACAGTAAATAAAAAGGTAAATTTAAAACATTTCAGTTATGCATCAAAAATTGAAACTTATTTCATGTAGCTTTTACTATTGTAAAGGAGTTTTTTTCTAACATTATTTCTATGTTCAAGTCAGCTTATTTTTGTATTAAAATCAGATTATTTTGACCATGGCAAGTCTTTAATTATCAAATTAATTTTTTTTCTTAAATTTACACACACGGCAATAAACAAATAATTTTTCTGCTTTTGAAAGTCAATCAAAATTCTCCATAAAAGCTGTGGCTTCTTTGAACCTTTGTTGCAGATCCGGTAGCATGCAGTGCTGGTTTATTAAAAGTGGCCTTGTGCCAGACACTACACAAAACTAACGAGTCCACAAACAATGTATAAAAATAAAATGCGTGAATGAACATTGAGAGGAAGAGGGGTCAATCAACAAGTGCATAAATTATAAACATCAAAAAGATAGCCTTAATAGAATGACAAAGGCGTCTGGATGCAAAACATGTGTAATTTTTATTAAATTGAAAACAAGTAGGTTGTCTTGTCTTTCGAGATCAGAGAAAATGTTCCACGCCAAAACAGAAAAGCAAGATGAACAAGGCGGGAAAGGTTTTTATCAAAATGAAAGAAGGTTCTGGAAAAAGGAACTCGTAACACGAGGTGTAGGTGTTGTGGCAGACATGAGACAGAACCTGGGACGAGCACAACTGGTCGCGACTTGCCTTGTCCCCGCCAAAAAAGAGCCCGTATTTGCTTAGCATGTAAAGCTACTGCAGTTGAAATGAGGGAGAGAAAAAAAGCACTTACCGCTCTGCCGTAATCCATCCTCGGCCAGATAACGTAAAAGAATGAGGGGGGACTGGCATCGCATTTTTATGCAATAATGATGCAATGCATTATGGGACATGGACGCAATGAATTATGGGATCACATGAAGATGCAAGGGATTATGGGTACATGAACAACTATAAAAACAACTACTTTTTTCCAAGTCGGGGAGTTCTTCGAGGGACGTTCACGGTTGACGGCAAGAACGGGCAGTTAGTGTGATTTGGAGACAGAACTCAAGAAGGAACGACTCAAGGTTGAAATACCAGCTGGGAGAGCTTGAATTTACTTGCTGGTTACTGTTTTCTTCATTCGCCTCAGGTGTGCACAGATAAAATGAGTACTCACTATGGATTTTGGCATTGTGAGTGTGTGTGATTTTTTTAGGTTCAGGTTCAAAGTAGTTAGAAAGTTCAGTCGTCTCAGAGTTTTTTTGGTCGGGCATTGAATTAACTGCTGAAAATTTTATCGGATTGATGTGGACGTCTAGCCAAAAGGACGAAGAGTTATTTGTAGTGAGTTGCATCGTCTTGGTGAAATTACTTATGGCGAGTCAAGAGACGAAGGATTATTTGTAGTGAGTTGCAGAGGGTCAAAGTAATTTTTCGTCAATAAGATATCCCTGTCTGTATTATGGTTGACTGACAAGGGATAAAAAATAAGTCACTTGTTGATACGAAGTTCTGCCCACGACTGTGTCGTGTGTCTCCACGTTTTCTAGCCGAAAACGGAGGTCATAAGATATCCCTGTCTGTATTATGGTTGACTGACAAGAGATAAAAAGAAGTCACTCGTTGATACGAAATTCTGCCCACGACTGTGTCGTGTATCTTGAACGTTTTCTAGCTGAAAACGGAGGTCTGACCTGCGGGTAAAGTCAAGACAAGAAGAAGTCTTGGTAAAGTGTGAGGTCGACATGTTGAAATAAGATATTCCGGCCCGCATATAGGTTAAGGGCACGGAATAAATGAGTTACCCATCTAGTCAGGTTGAAGATCGGGAAGCAACTGGCTTGCAAACGCTGTTCGTTTGAGACGCCAGGAAACGCGCGGGAAAAAAATTCAAAATCTGTTAGGCTGACTTTATCAGTAGGAGCTATAGCAAGCGACCTTCCTTCCTCCAGATTACTGCTACATCTAGCTGTGAGAGAGAGGAAGGGGTGCAAACCGCGTGCACACACGCACGAGTGTGAAAGGAAGGGAGGAAAACTTGCGCGATCATAAAATGTAGATGGAATTACTGTGTTAATTCCATACCTTTTAAAATCCATATCAATGAAATAAAAATAAAGAGAACATATTTCAAGCTATTTTTATAGTTTACTCTAAAGAAATAATATTAATTTTTTAGCGTTTTATAAACTTCTTAATAAAATGCACAATATCTACCTTATTATTAACTTCATCTTTTGCTTTCTCTGCTTTCTTCTCAGGTGATAAGTCTTCAGCAAGACAGTCATTAAATTTTCGTTTCTTCCCCCATGGCCCATAATGACCTTTATGTTTCTGTCTTTGGTCATTAGGTCTGTGGTAAAATTGTCTAACAAAAGACAATAAAAAAAAATTAGAACTTTATTACAAGATGTTTTTTCCTTCAAGATAGTAAAAAAATACAAAGAAACGGCTCAATGACAAGAATGCATGGTCCATAAGATAAAATACTAAAGAGCAGACTAAGGATGCTGTTATCAAACTCCTCTCACCATAGGTAAAATAAAAGATGATATAGCATTGTTTTAATCTAGCATATTACATTAGTAGTCAAATTTGCATTTAAGCATGTAACTTAAAAATGTAATCAAATTATCATTTTAGTACTATAAAGATGAGAAAACAAATTATTGTTCATTTTTATAAATAATGTGCCAATATCATTTTATTCAGGCATTAAATATTCAATATTTGATGTCTAAGCTTTGTGATTTTGTAGTTCACTGACAGCTTAATGGGTTATGTTAAGTTAAAGTTGGTTTAGAACAGCATATTTTGAAATTTGTTGTGAATATGCAGAAATGTCCATGGCTACATAATCAAATATTTACTTTAATATCAAATCCTTTAAAGAATACTGATAATGTTGAAATATTTTAGTATTTATGAGTTTATTTTGTATTTCAAAAATCTGTAGATTAGATAGTAATTCCCATTATTTGTAAAGAATATGTTTAAGAAATCAAAGCCTTTTGCCTGGTTTTTCTTCATAAAATGATTATCTCAGCTGCTTTTTCTTATCACATTTGTGTTTAAACAATTTTATAAAAGCAAAGTATGTAATTTAATCAAATAAAGAAATAAATGCTAGAAAAAACATTTCTTACCAAATTTAACTTATATTCATACAAAATATCAAGAAATAACAGTTTTAATAAATGTTTTTTATCGTTTCATTTTGACTGAAACTTAACAGTCACTTTAAACTGTCAGGGAATAATCCAATGCAACTATATATTATACAAACAGGAATATTTTAACAAATGAAATTCATAGTATCTTATTTGATATTTGTACTATCAACATAACATTACACCAGTAAAAATGATTAACTGTGTTAAAATTTAATTTCCCTATTTTTTTTTTTTAAATTATTTACTGTTTATTCACTATCATTATACATAGGTGCAAATAAATTGAAAAAAAATTATCTTAGTGTTTTCACTCCTCACTGAATTGATTTTCTTCTGCACAATACTAATACAAAAATTACTGAACAAAATTTATTATAATATCAATACATCTATCTTTATCAAAGATTTCTGGGTATGACTGCAGAATCAATACAGCAATTGCAAGATATAAATAAAAACCAATAAAAATCATCTATAATAATGAATATTTAATAATTTTTAAGAAAGAAAAAATCAAAATACTTTTCATTAAGCACTTCTCCTCGAGCTTTTTTCTCTGCTTCTAAAGCTTTTTTCTTTTCAATATTTGCAGCTGTAGGAAAATTTCTGAAAAAAAAAAAAAAAAAAAAAAAAAAAATATTTAATGTTTTGCTTAAATTTAAATTACTTTCATATTTTAACAGACTTTAAAATGCTGGTATTAATAACATTTTAAATTCTAAAATGGACAACATCAAATTTATTGCTCATTTACCAAAGTTTTCTACAGGCAAAGATTTTTTTTATTTCTTTAATCAAAGTTTTGGCAAATAGTTTTATACAATTGAATAACTTTGCAGACAATAAATCAGTAAATGTCAATAAAATGGAAATTGACATTTAAGAGTTATCTTAATAAAGAGGGAGAAAACCAAAAGACACAATTGTTTATATAGTATGTTATACATTAAATGACAATTGGGAAAAAAAGTTAATGAAAATATAGTGTTTCAAAAAACGTTTTTCCAATTGTCATTTAATGTATCTCTGTCAGGATCATTTACCCAAATTCTTATACTGTCAACATGGAGAATGCATGATAAAAAACATATCTTTCATTTATTTTCTACCCATTCTGATGGATTTTTATCTTTAAAAATCTTTTATCTTTTTATCTTGGACACTTAAAACAAAGAACATAAAATGTTAAGCATTTTTTTTTTTAAAATAAGTCATTCATTTTCTTTCTTTTCTAGTCACGAGCAACATCAGCTTGGGAAAAATACATGATCTTGTTATTTTAAATAAACACAAAGACATACACATGCAATGCACTTTTTCAACTTTCATCTGATGAAGCCCGAAATGGGCAAAATGCATTATTGGATATTTTCTTTTTAAGCATAACATTATATTTTCATGAATGTTTTTTACAATTGTCATTTAATGTATAACTGTCCGTATCATTTACTCAAATTCTTAACATAGGGCGTTATATGTGACAACATACGTCATATATAAGTTCAAACATTGTAACAACTGAGAGTTTAAAGTAAGGACTCAAAATGCTTGTTTAATGATGGAATAATGGAATTTTTGTGCTCTGCTCACTTTTTTCTTTCAATAATCCATTTTGCAATATCTTCTTGGCTCTCAACACTCCAGATCTTCTTGGCCAGACCAGTGTAGTGGTGCTGTAGAAACACAAAAATAATGAGCTATAAAGTTATTTATAAAAAGGTTTTTCTTAGTTATTCTTGCAACAGAAGCCCATGCGCTGATGGCTCTAAGTAAATTACAAATAACAAGAGAATCTTTTTAGGTTTGTTACCATTCAAAACTGATGATATATACAGTCCTCAAGAGACAAAATATATCAGTTCTTTTCATTTTGATGTGTAGCTCTTTAGTCACCTTTTAACGTCTTAGTTAAATTAGGAATCAGAGTTAAATTTAACAGCCTCTAAGAATTTATGAAGTGAAGTAGTAACAACATTCTAATGGAACTGATTTTTTTCTTAACACTTGAAGTTTTGGAATTTTGTTTTCTACTACCAAGAGTAATTAGCTGGGAAGAAGAATTGTATGTATTTATTTCTTGCAATAATGCAAAACTATTTTAATACACACATTAACTTTACAAATTGCTGGTATTTTTAATTTTTGTAATTGTAGTTTCATAAAAATATTTTTAAAAAAATCTTTAAAAGTTTACTTTTGTTTATTTGCTAGTGTTTTAACTTTGACCAAAGTATAAAAATAACAAACAAAAATCAAGTTAACCTAGAAACAATGTTGCTTTCTTACAATCTTCAAGATACCCATTAACTATTCTTACTGTATTTACATGCAGACTATTGTTTTTATCTTTGTTGTTACCTAACCTTTCAGCCCTTGTGCCTTCCAGCCTTCATCAGGTGTATTTCAATCAGAGTAACCTTATTTATGTGAGTAGACTTCTTGTTTCACTGCCCATTTAGGAATATCTCATCTAGTTATTATTTTTAGTAATATATATAATAGTATATTGCTTGGTATTAGCTTAGTGATACAATTATAAATGCTAAGAAAATAGATGAAAGTATCAAAGAGGTGAGACACGTTACTTTCAATAGATTTTATAATTGGAACACTGGAGACATTAAAATTTTTATTACTTGCTATTCCTTATAAAAAGGAACAGACTTTCATTAGAGACAGGCTCCCATTTAATTATCTTTGTATGCTCACATGTTAACTGAAAACTGATTGGACATGAGATAACTTTTGTTAGTTGATGTATTTGTAGAAAAAGACAAACTCCAAACATAATATACTGCTTCCACAGCTTAATGAACAGACTTCTGAAACATACTCTGGTGATAGACATTTTTTTTGTGTCATACCAACTGGAAATAAATTTGTTACATCTAGTTATTTTCTGCTTTGGTCCTAAACTCTAGACAACACAATTGGAATTTATATCTGGATATGAATTATAGATAATGCTACATCATGCTGTTTGATATAATTACTGTACAATGTTACATTTGATATTAGCATCAGAGTACGAGATACAGCTTTAAGCATTACATTTCATACATTATATTAACATTTTAATAAATATTTTATCAAAAAGTAAAATTATTTTCTGCTACTAAGTTGGTTTTCATATTAAAATTTGAAACATTTGTAATTGTAAATTTTTTGTAAATAAATGGCTTGGTCATAATTTTTTTTTTACAAAATACAAAATCAGTCACATGAAATGAAAATAACTTACATTTCGAACATGAAGTTGCACCAGTTTTGGTGCAGCAATATATGAGCAGCCTTCCTCTTTACACTGCAAAAAAAAAAAAAAATAAAAAAAAATAAAAAAAAAAATAAATACATTTAATGATGGCTTTCTTCAAAAAAGAAAAATAAAACCAAAAAAGCCTCTTCTAAATCAAATTTTCTAATGCCACAAACACCTTAAAAGAAAACTTAAATCTTCAAATTAAGAAATATTTTGTCTTTGTAAAAAAAATTTACAGACTACAAAATCAAGGTTTCTTTTCCTTTTCAATTTGCTAAATTTTTTATAAATTTACTAAACTAATAACCTGTTTATTAAAATTACAAAGAACTTGAAATTAGAATACTTATTTCATTTTTTAACCAGGATTTAATGTTTTCAAACTGAAGCTCATAATTATTCAATACAGAATAAAAAAAAAAAAAAAAAAAAAGCTTCATTTTGATCTTCATCAAAATCTGGGATGATCAGAAGCTTTGTATATTATATTATTGATACAAGGAAAAGGAGATACCTTTTTGGATTCACCTTACAAGTGATAAGTAATAAGTTTTTCATTATCAAAAAAAGCTTCTACTTATTTTCTAATATCAAATATTTGCACAAACTGTTGCAACCATATGATCAATGCATTATGAAGTATGTAAAGTTGACATACACCCAAACTAATTTAAGGCCCCAAACTTAATTAAAAGTCAGTTTTATTGTAAAAATATTTGTTATTATGAGGAAAAACCAAAGTATTTTTCTATTATTTTATTAAATTTTTTTAATTATTTCTAGCATGTTTGAAATTTTGGTTAATTTTTTTTTTTTGGTGCCAGCAGTCGACATAATATTTATGATTAGTGTTTTAGCGCCTTTTTTTTTCATGTGAAAAACACATTTTAAAATTGTTGTGTTGTGAGAATCTATATTTTCATATATTTGGTAGAATATTCCATGTTCATTTACAAGTTTTTTTGGCTTGACTTGCCAGATATGTTGCGGTATCACTTGAATTTTTTGGATACTCCAGCTTTTTGGAAGTATTGTCAAAATTTGTACTTTTTTGGGGATCTCTTTTTACAAGCTGAAAACCTTTCCTTTAATTGTGTAATAATTTCACTTGCATCAGATCTTTTATACTCATCTACATTGGTAGACTCTTGATGAAAATATTTTAGTTGAAATCAGTTTAATTTTCTTTGATACTGCTCCTTTAATTTTTCCTACTTTTTATTCCTCATAACTGCTTTGTTTTTCAAGTTTTTGATGCTTGATTGACAATTCAATCATTGACAGTGATCCATTAAAAAGTTGCAATTCATTTTCAATATCTACAAAAATGCTAGAAGGCTGTGACTGGTCTTCAGCTGATGTTACATTCAGAAAACTCAGGTAATGCTGTTAATTTTATTCAACAATGGGTTTGCTTGTTAATCTCTTTGTAAATGTTAGGAATCTTTTTTTTAAATATTCATTTTAAAGTATCACTTTTTCAAGAACAAAACTTATCTTAACATTAATTCATGACACTTTAAAATAATTATTTTCATTATGTCACTTTTTCATATAAAAATCTATTTGTCATATAATAAAAATGTAAACAAACCAAAAATAAGTTTTCCACTGAATTGGTCAACATTTAACCAGAAATAACAAATTCTGTTCATTTTATTATCAGAGTTCTTATGTGAATATTAACCAGCATTCAAAGAGCTTCCTAAAGATATACAACGTGACCATATTGGGGGATATGAATATGTTAGCATATAGTGGCAAATACCAAAATCTGCCATTTTGAATTTGGCCCAACTCAGTAACTCTTGACTGTGTCAAAAGCCTACCACAAAATTTTATACATATCTTACCATAAAGCAGACAAATTTGTTGTCAAATTAAAAAAAAAAAAAAAAAAAAAAGAACCGTTTTTAGGGAGATTAAAGACCAAAGGTTATGGTCAAATTATCTTATTTGACCTTTTAAACAAAAAAATAAGTAGATTACCTTTTAGGTCCATCAAAGTACTTTAAAATGGTATATAATTTAGATTTGTGGGTGAAAAAACAACTAATATATTGATATTTAAACTTTGCAACTATGTTCCAAAATTCACCTTTTTTGGCATGGGTCAAAGGGTCATATCTTGGGAACTGTTGACCTAGAGATGTAAAATATGTACCATTTAATTTCTTTCATAAAGCTCTATACGTGTACCAAATTTGAAAAAAAAAAAAAAAAAAAAAAAATCCGTGTCAGTCATGGTCAGACCCTTGTTGACATGGAATGACTACTAATTTAGCAAATTTAATAATTTTTTCACTTAATCTGTTTAGATTTTCCTAAAAATGTAGTAAATTATTTAAACATAACTTGCTTCAGTTTTAGGAAAACCTAAACAGATTATTTTTACTTATTTAGATAATTCCATTATTTTTTCAGCTTCATTCAACTAATTTGTAATAACATAAAATGCCAGACAAAGAATGCATACAAACACTGCTAGGCCTTAAATTACTAAATTCTATAAAAATTTGAACGTTTTAAAAAAAAAAAAAATTTACATTATTTATGTCCACTAAGAAAAAGTTATTTTTAGAAGCCAAGATTACATTTATTGTTTTCTTTAAAGGTAAACACTGATATTTTTCGGCTAACTTATGACAAGGCAGATATAAATTCTTTCTGTACAAACATCATTTACATATGGCAATTTAAATAACTTTAATTAAAAATAACAGATGAAATATTTATTAAAATATGCTTTTAAAAATTGTTATGAAAATTAAATGTTACCACTTGTAAAACACTATTAGTTTATATATATATATATATATATCTCTTATAATAAAAAATAAAGACTTGCGATAAAGTCTGTTGTGTCCATACATAAATAATAAAAATTAATTATAGCGTAAAAAATAATAAATAAATAAATATTTATAACAATTATATTATTATTAATTCACTCATTTTAAACCAATGAGAATCAAACCAACTTTTCTCCTTTACACACATAGCATTCTCACTATTGGACAAGCAGTTTACATGGACAGATGTGCACCAACTTTTTCAGGCAATAACAGTAACATTTATCTCTTAGCACCCAACAAAAATTCAAGTTAAGAAAACTCCAGACACTTCTTGTATTTTTCCAACTTTATCATCTGGACACTCATTAAACACACACACAAAAAAAAAAACACACACACACATACATGAAACACTGTATACATTTTGCTTTCCCTTTATCTCTTCCTGCTGTCAGATTCTGATCCATATTTAATCTACTTTTGACCCCAAACTCACAATTTTATTCAGTATTACTGTCTCATGTCTCCAACACCACATAACCAGATAATAAATTCTTGTTTTGTTGTTTCCACATCTTTCTGTTTCTCATTTTTACGAGTACTTTTTGTATAGATAAATGTAAGAGGGTTCATAATTATTTATTCAGAGCTATTACTCTTCTACAAGTCATTGTTCGTTAGTGGTACAGGCTGTTTTGTTCTACTGCTGTAAGGCGAGGACACACAGAATTACCTTCTCTAAAAAGAGCCTCAGTTGCCACTTAAATCATCCAGTGGCCTTACAGTATACACTATGTTGTCTCTTTAGCACTGACATTGATAAATTCTATTTGGGATAAATCTTATAGACATTTTCACACAGTTGTCCTAGTGTTGGGTTTTTAATTATACCATCAATATACATGAAAAGAGCTCTGAACGCGAGCTCATGTAGAGAGCAACAAAGTGTGTATAAATGATTCACGTTTGTTCTCCAGAAATATTACAAAGTTTGCTTTATGTCTAGAAGAATAGCCTTAAGAATATCTACACTGTTGAATTCTTTTAACACACAAACAACTTCAGAAAAAAACACCAGTCACACCTGTAATTGAAATTTTTCTATTAGTGAGAGTCTATACTTTCAGTTCCTATTTTCTGAGGAAATGTTTGATGGCATTCTTATTTCGTTTATTGCCCCTCCCTTCATAACTTCTCTGTACAACAAAGTGTCTTTGTTAATCTTTCCATAAACCGCAATACAGTTTTTCAATGTTATTTTATATTCTTGCTTTTTTCCCCCCCATACTCTATTGACTTAAGAATTATATTTTTTAAATCAACATCAGATCTAATAAGACCCAAAGATTGTAAGTCTAAAAGAAAGGGCTACCCTTGATTACTTTAATTGCATATCTGTAAATCTTAAAACGTTTGTATGGCCTCATATATGGTTTCCTCCACTCCCAGCTCAAAATGTACATCTCCAGTTTCTCAAGTAAAGACTATCAATTGTTTTCCAACTATTTTTATCCAATATCTGAGAAAAAAAAAATTATTACTATAGGAAAGTATAATAAATCAACTTCATTTTAATGGATATTTTCAAGTTCATTAAAAAAATTAAATTATTATTTACATTATTACACTTGTAAACAGTCTTCTATATAAACAAAAAAAGTTCCAATCATTGCTAACTTACTGCTATCAACACAAACATACAGCCAATGATAAACATACTTCATTAAGCAATGTTTTTAAGATGAAACCAATATACCCTGCCCTCCCCCCCATACTTTAAAAGAGTAAATCAAGATTGGTTTATGCTTTATAAGAGGTTTCACAGGGTTCATTGTCAAACATTTCTTTAAAATTAAAATAAAAATTACTTTAAAAAAATAGTGTTTACTTGATCTTAATGTTAGCTGCAATTTGAATGCCATTTATGATTTTTAATAACATTTTATACAATCTTTACTTTTTTTTCTTTTTCATATTTTAAAAACAAACATTAAATACAGATTTTAAATTCATTTACTTTTTCTTTTTTCACAAGAGGATGTAATACTTTGACCCAATTATCATTTCAGGTAACATTGCGAGATGATTGAAGAACTAAGATTTCAGTTTTCTTTGCATTGATTTCCTGAAGTGATGGTAGAAGTTAGAAATAAAATCATTTGTGTGAGTTTTTATTATATCATGTCCCAGTTATTTAGACTTGTCCAAGACTATAATTCTGAATTGATATACACTATTACTTTTTAAATTTGTTAAAACAGCACAGAATCTAATAATTTATTTTTCATATCAGAAGAAAAATTAATTTGAATAGTTTTATAACTATGCTGTGAGTAAATATTTCAACTAATTCATTAGGCAAAATAGCCACTTATATTCTTACACTATCGTTCCTGAATACTTGGGGTATAAGACTGGATGTCAAGAGATTTATGGCCTCTTTTCCCAAGATTTCTCTCATGACTAAACTCAGTATAAACCCCAACAATACAAAAGCAAATTTTTAGTGGTCAGAATTGTAAAATTCATAATGCTCAAAGAAATAGCAGAAACAACAAAGTAATCTCAAACTTATAACTCACTTTCTCATGTCCATCAGTGTGCTCTTTCAATTTCTCTTCTGTCTTGAAACCTCGATCACAAACATCACAGTAAAAAGCACAATTCTCTGGAAGATCTCTCTTGTTGGGTTTATTTTTTTTCTTCTGTAAAAAAAAGTGGGTTGCTTTAAAATTCCACAGAATAGACTTAATTACAATAAAAAAATAAATAAAAAGAGAATTTTATAGTTAAATAAAATCCTACTATTGTAATAGAAAAACCTTTACTTAATAACATGATCAGAACATGTGGAATGTGATAATGTACTTGATTATTTTGTGCATGAAGCAAAATATTTATTAAGTGGTGTAAGATTCTTAAATCCATATTTAAATATTTTGAATAGTTTATTTTTGTATACTTCTTGAATTTTAGAAAGAAAAAATATTTACTGTTGTTTTTGCAAGATCTAAAAAAAGCTTTTTTTGCAGAATCTCATGTCCTCAAGCATTTTAAATGTCACCAGAAAAAAAATAAATAAAACAAAATTTTTTTTAACTCTACAGTATGCTATGCACAAATGGACACTTTAAGAAACAAAGATGAAGAGAATAGTTTTTTTTTTTTAAAAAACAGGATATGTTTCAGTCAGTACAAGAAAACTAAAAGAATTGACAAATATGAAAATGGTAATACTATGTTGATACTCAATCCTTGTAACCTTAAAAGCTCTTTGATGAACTTTTCTCAGGATATTTGCTCATTATCTGGAACCCTTTATTTAAAGAATGCATTCTCGAGTTTCTTCAGACAAGCCTCAGACAACTTGTCTATTTTCATGTCTCTCTGCATATGCAAGACAAATGTATCCAAGATTTATTCTAAGAAGCTGTATTGTTAAAATCTCAGATCAACTAATGTATCTGCCAGAATAGAAACACAAAACTAATTCCACCATTTATAGTTTTGATGAAGTATTGTTGTAGCTCTTGTATGTGAAATTTCAGGTCAAGCAGCTACTATGGAATTCTTGAAACTAACTTTACTTTCCTTAAAAAAGTTAAGATAAACCCTCCATCTCTAAACTGGATTAAAGTTTGCTCTTGTCCAGTTTTTAAATCCATCTTCATTATTTCCTGACCCTGAAAAAGATTGTACATCTAAAAGTTAAATCTTATATACCACAGCATGTATACAAGATGAAAGGAGATACAAGAAAAATCATCAAAGGTGTGTGTTTATAAACAGTAATTCAGACTTTGCTAACCAGACGCTTCTCTCTGGCTGAATAGTTAACAGCATGTCAGATCAAATGATGGTTCCCATGGGGGTTACAAGTTTGATTCCTGTCAGAGAGCCCACATTTTCTATGAAATTTCTTGAACATTCAAACTGGTAAATGAAATTAATACTGTTTAAAAAAAAAAAAAAAAAAAAAAAAAAAAAAAAAGACCATTTACTTACATAAATTATACCTATAAAAATAATGTATAAACAGAAATATATTAAATAATTGTTGGACTTAATCCATTTCATAATATATACATATATATATATATATTATATATACACACACACACATACATACACACACAAGAGAAAAAAAAAAAAAAAAAAAAAAAAAAAGAAATTCAGTACAAAAACCTCTGACTTTCATAGCTTTTAATTCTTTTTTTGTTAAGTCAGGGATTACTCCTTGCTAATGGTGCCATGTAACTTGGAGAGGTAATGGGCACTGCCAAGGAACCTACTTTTACCATTACCTTAAGAAATGCCATGAAAGACATTGTACCCTCAATGATCTATTAAGTCATGGATGGAAATTTATTCATATCGAAAAAAAAAAAAATTACCTGGTCATAAGGTGCACAAAAAAGGAGGACTCTTACTTAGGGTAAAATTGAACAGAAAAAGTTTATTTACAATAGATTTAAGAGGAAATATACTTTTAAGCACCTAATCAAAAATACTTGGATTAAAAGTTGGACTTCTACACTTGATAAAGATATAAAAAAAAATGTCCTTGGTAAAGGGATACAGCAGAAGTTCATACCTTGTTAATTTTCTGACCTGTCAGGTGTGAAGGTCATTTAAAATAGTAGTGAGGAATGATAAATAAAGAATTTTAGTAGCTCTACTTGAAGGTAATTTCAGAAATTGCCAGTTTTTAGTTTCAGTTATGTTGACCAGAGTTTTTTGTTGGCAATGTGGTGCTTCAGTGTTTATAGTTTTTTTTATTCAGAGTCGTGGTTGACCACATAGCATTTTAGAATCATCTTCTCGCTCTCAGCTGAAAATGTTAATTGATATAGTTGTCCCCATATTTGTGTGACCATCCACTGATGAGGCTTGAATGAAGTGATTTTCACCAGCTGGCAACCTTGTTTATATTTATAAATAGGTTCACTAAGTTATCTCTTCAAATTATCACAATTATCTTCTGATTGGTGGAAAATAACCCAGAGAAAAAATTTCCCTTTTGAATGCCAATTTTCAATTTTTATTGCCCTGAGCCAGACACAAACAGGATCAAGATAAGTCCCATCCAAACACTTCATCACATTGCTTATTAAAGTTTTCATTCTTAGATAGCAGTTAGGAGCATAGAGTTGTATTTTTCAAAAAAAAAAAATAAATAAATAAATAAATAAATAAATAAAATAATAATTTGAGATTTTCTCCCTTTTAAAAGGAAGTATACTGCTTGCTACATATTGAGAAATAGTGTTATTTTGTTACTGTTCTAAACAGAACAATTACAGTTGACTGTCAAAATATGATTTTTAGTAACCAGACAGAAGCATCTTTCACAAGCTAATAACAATGTTAGTAACTGTAATTTGAGAAAAGGCTTCAAAAAGTTAACTTAAATACAAGTATAGCTTGAACTCTTCTCTTAAAAAGTTTTCTTTTTTATAATAGAAGCAGAAAGTGACTTACAATCTTTCTTTACTGCATATTTTTGTTGCATCTCCATTTGAGCTAAACTCTAGCTTTTCACAATTTAAATCATCTTCAGAGAAAAAATAATTTTGCTATTCTTTATAAATAGGTTCTCCCCAGCCAAAATAAAAATAAGTGATACCGAAGGTTTAAATTGCATTTTAAAAAGTGAAAAATCTTTTTTAAAGCTTTTATTTTAGTTTTAATACCAAGTTAATACATTATTATTTACGTACCTCCATGAGATCGCTAAGAAAAGAGCATAGCATGAAAAAAAAGATGCCAAACTTGACGAAAACAAAATTTTATCAACTAGATGTTTATGGTCTGTCTATATTTCTGAGATGAGGTATTATGTACATTATTTATATTATTCGGACTATTGTCCTCATCTTTGTCGCCATATTTATCACAACATTTCGGCCGTTGTACGATCAATACTTTAAGGAAATGGCATTAAAATCTATATCTCTAAAGCCAACTATATGGTTAAGGTACGTAGATGACACCTTCATACTCTGGCCACACCAGGAAGATGTTCAGGTTCTACTGGACCATGTGAACTCAATAAGACCTTCGATACAGTTCACGATGGAGAAAGAGTAACAACACACTCCCATTCCTGGATGTTCTAATATCTCGAACAGAGCATGGGTTTAAGACATCTGCATACCGTAAACCGACGTTCACTGGACAGTACCTCAATTTCAACACCCACCATCCATACAGCATAAAGAAAGGGATTGTCCGTTGCTTACAACACCGAGCAAAAGTCATAAGTGGCGACCCAGAGACATTAGATAAAGAATTGGTCAGTATAAGTAGTACCCTAGAACGTAACTACCCTGGGTACATGGCAGCAGCCCCCAAAAACTGGGATAGGCGGGTACAAGAGGAGGAGGTCAACAACACTCAGAAAACAGTCTGCCTGCCTTATGTGAAGGGGTTATCAGAGAAAATACAAAGGATATGCGGTCCATATAACATCAGGACAACCGTCAAAAGCTTGACGACACTTCAGATATCTTTCCCAAGTGAGACCCCCCCCCAATAGAGGAGAACATGACTAAGGACTGTGTGTACGCTATCCCGTGCAGCTGCAGAAAGGAATATAAAGGAGAGACAGGCCGCCCCCTCAAGGTAAGGCTTCAAGAACACCAGAAAGCTGTAACACGAGGGGAAGTAGAAAAATCAGGCGTGGCTGACCACATATGGAGAGAGAAGGGAGATCACCGCCCTCTGTGGGATCATAGACAAGGAACACCATTGAAAAATTTGTAAACTTAAGGAATCAGCACATATGCTAGGCCACAAAAATCTCCGGAGCTGACCAAGCATAGAAATAAATACAATATGGGAACCAGTAATAAGGAGTGCCAGGGAAAAGCAATGAAAACAAAGTTGCAATATGAGCTCTGGTAAAATTGGTTGCTGAAGACATTAGGTTTATAATACCCAGAAATTCATACCCAGATGTCCTCAAGGACACATGGCACAGTGGATAAAGGCGTTGGTTAGATCCAGTGACAGGACCCAAAGTTCAATACCCGGTTAAGGCAGTGGAGAACTTTCAGAGGGAAATTAGCAGACATCCATCCATCAAACATGGCACGTGGAACTAGAACAGTCTACCCCAGTGAGCGAAATTAAGGGTTCAGTTCAAACCGTGATAAATATGGTGACAAAGATGAGGACAATAGTCCAAATAACGTAGATGTTTATGCTATTATTAAGAGGAAAAAAATCAAAGTATTTTGGGGGTATTTTTTTACATTTTTTAATTGTTCCTAGCATGTCCGAAATTTGTTTTTTCTTGACCATTTTTTTTCCATTTTATAAAAAAACTGGAAATCTCCCTTTGAATACTTTTAAATATCAATTATCATTTTTTCAAAACTTATTTTAAGATAATCAGAAATTATAATGACAATTTAAAATATTTTGAACCAAGCTTAACTTAGATTCTGCGCCAAAAAGTGTAATTTGAAAATAAAACAAAGCAGGTCATAAACTTTTGCCTCACTTGACAGATGATAAATGACATATTGACGGATTCCGTGAGGATAATTTGTTCTACGGAAGGAGAAAAGTGAAATTATTTATATTTAAGTAAACAAATTATTTACCTTGTTATTTTTAAGGAAAACTTTCAGTGCTCTAATTTTTTTTGGTTTTTTGTACTTAGCTTTCACCTTTACGTTTATGATGCTTTATGGAAAATATATTATAAAGAAATTCAGATAAGACCGTTAAGAGTGAGATTAAATTTCATAAGAAAGGTATCTAATTAATTTATAGGTACCTTTCTTATAAAATTTTATCAGAAGTGTACATAAAATACTATAATTTTATGTACATTTACTGTGTTATTTGTATTTCCATTCATTTTATTATTAATTTTGATATTTAATTTATGGAAAAATGTCATAACTGAAATTAATATGAAAATAAGATCATATAAATTTCATAAGATGATACTAATACTTGTAGGTACACTTCTCAGTTGAAATTGAAAAATCAAATTAACTTCTCCACACATTTCGCAAAGGCCTTAACAGCGGAGAACAATGCTTAATTCAAATAACGCAACTTAATTGTATTCTGGTTGGTCTTCCATACTTTATAATTACAGCCCGATTATAAACACAAAATTACATTTCTTAATTACTGCGGGTTTTCTGATTAGTCAGAACGATACAATTTACAACGCACTAAAAAAAAGATCTATCTCATAAGGATACTTAGGAAACCCAATGAGGCTTTTAACTAATTTTATAATATTTTAACAACTTAAATGTAAAAATCTAATTAAAAAATAACAAATAATTGTATTAAAAATTCATTTTACATCGAAAAAACGTTTTGCTTTCAGAAAATATTGTCCATATTCATAAAAACAACTAAAAACATTTGGAATTAAATAATATCTTTGTTTTATTGAGTTTCGTATGTTACAATTCAGAGCAGATTTTCAGGTGGGGGGGGTCTAATTAAAAACAACAACAAAAAAAAAAAACAAAATAAAAAATATGATTTTCATTCCTCAAAGCCTTGTGCTTTTAACTATTGTAATCACTAAACCTGACATGATCAAATTTCTAGCATTTTCCTAAAATTAGTTGTGGGGGGGTAATAAATATTTAAAAAAATATTTCTGCCATGACTAATAAAAAAATAAAAAAATATTTACAATAATTTTGATCATCTGTGAATAGTTTCTGAAAGTTTCATTAACATCAGACAATTATTTTTGCAAGATTTTCCAAATTAATGTGTGTCACACAAAAAAAATGTGCTAAAAATTGTATGTTATTTTACTCGTTCCGATGATACAAAGTTCTTTTTTAATCAAAATTTAGAATGTTCTAAAAAGGAAAAATTTTTAAAAATTAAAATAAACTTTGATCTTTTTCTTAATAATAATATAAACATTTAGACGATAAAATTTTGTTTTTGTCAAATTTGGTGTCTTTTTCATCATGCTATGCTCTTTTTTAGCGATCTCGTGGAGGTACCTACTTAAATTTGATATTTCCAATAAGCAAAGTAATTTCCTGTATTTCAAACTGAATTTAAAGTGATTGGAATTTTTTTTTTTAAATCGTCTATACAACAAATCTGTTAATTTTCTTTATTAATAAATCTTTCAAAAATAAAATATACATTTCTAAAACTTTGAGGAAGATTAACTGATTTAAAATTTAATTAATCTGAATTAAAACAAATATTAGTTACTTTTAATTTAAAATACCACAGAAAAGCATTTAACACAGAAGTGTTTTTATGATAAATTTATCAATAGCTTAACATTTGGCATTTTTAAGTAAAAGGCACATAACTGTAAAAATTACTTGAATACAATGTGAACACTGTGTAGTGTTTTTATATATTTTTTTTTAATTACCCAGTAATCATAAAAATTTAGGAAAACATTCTATTTTATTGAATTTTAGGTATTTTGGCTTTAAGTCTTATGACACTTGTTGAGAAAATGTTAGAAAATTACCAAAAACTTAAATTTACTATAGTTACCACTTTTATTCTTTGATAATGCAGCGTATGGACGTAGGTGTTTATAAAAATTGGTAGGTTTCTATATATATACACACACACAAAATCAAAATTCTTTTAAAAATACTGTGGGAGGTGGTCACCAAATTGTAGTAAGATTTTCAATTTATGATTAGTAGAGTTTTTAGTTAACATTACCTAAATGCTATAAATTAAGATACAGAATTTTAAAAGACTTAAAACTTTATAAATTATTATAAATAAATTTTAAAAATAAAACGTTTGTAAAAGTCATTATTAGTCATTAAAAAAGTTTTTTCTAGTTTCCATATCTATCCAAAAAAGCAATTGAAAGAAAGAAATTTGATGAATTAAGTACTTGCCTTTTTAACAAAATAGACATTAAAAAGAGCTACCTCCTAATTTCTCGAAATTTCATAAAAATTACATAAGTAGGGGCCCAGGGGGTAACAGATGTAAAAAAAAAATAAAATAAATGTTTCTAAAAGAATTTCATTCATTTTTTAATAAGTCCTGAAAGTTTCATTAAAATCTGACAATTTTTTGTAAGAATTTTCAAATCAATGTATTTTTCAATGCAAAAAGACGCTCAAATTTTCCATAATAATTTGATGGTCATCCACTTCTTAAACGCAAGAAAAAGAAAATTTTTAACAAAAAAAAAAAAAAAAAAAAAGAGATTAAAAATATCATTTTTAAATTTAATAATAATTAACAAAACATTGTTTGGTCTTTCATACTTTCAAAGATTTTAACGATAAAACTTTGTTTAAGTTTGGGGTATTTTTTTCATCATATGCTCATTTTTGAAAGTTTACTTTTAGATATCTAAATTTAAAATGGATGTGGAGGGGGATTCTATACAAACAATTTTACTTCAAATAAAAATAAGGTTTCCTGATTAAGACGTTACCGTTCCTTAATAAGCAAAACAAAAACAAAAAAAACGAAAGGGATCATTTTGTAAACACAAAAAGATGTTATTCTTTTTTTTAATATTTATTTCACTTACCTTTTTCATGTTTTTTTCATTTTGACTTTCACTGCTTTCATTTAGATGTTGATTCTGATTTCCTAGCTTCTTAATTTTTTTGTCTGTTTGGTAAGGTATTTGTTTGTGGTTGTTGGGCTGAAATGAACCATGCTGCAATGAATGACTTGATTGGTTAGCATTGCTTTGCCGATTCTTATTACTGAATATATTTCGATTTGGCGGAAACTGAGCAAATCGTGCAGGTGATTGCGGGTTAACAATTGGAGGCGGAGGACGATAGAAGTTGTTTGGGTATGACTGATACATAGACAAAAACCGAGGACCTCTTGGTGGAGCCATATGTGGTACAGGTGCTGGAAGTGGTGACCAATTTGGCCTGGATGGAGTGTTAAAACCAGCCCTGTCCATACAGTATGGAGGTGTCCACATATAGGGATTATTCATGATGGAGCTTTTTACTAGAAGAAAAAAAATCAAAAGAGAACGTTAGTTTGTACTGGACCATTACAAGGTATCCCTGACCGAACTTAAAATGAGCGTAAATAAAAAGGTGCTTTTTGTGTTGGTTTCTGTCACCAAATATTGCTTCATAAACTAAAATAATACCTTAAAAATAATTACTATCTATATGTGTGTGTGTGTATTTAACCATAACATACAAATTTCAGTGACGCGCATTCTTTTTTGGTCTACACTACACTACAGTCTTCTTAACTTATTGTGAGCAAACTAGAACTAGTTGTGTTTAGTTTAAAGTTAACTTTAGCACAAATATGACAATTTTTATCAAAACTTCCTTTTCTTCTTTTGGTCAAGAGTTTTTTTGGGTTTTTTTTTATTCCAATTTGAAATTCATCTAGTGCTTAAAAATAACAAGTTAAATTATTTTTTCGCTCTCTGGATTATTGTGAAACCGAGTCGCACATGGTCTACGTAAAATAAAAACTTTTAAAAAATAGCATAAGGAACGATGGCTATAATTTACAATAAGCTCTTCATGAGTGTAAATATTAATTTCCTCTAGGAGAATAAGATGATTCTTACCTCAGAAAGTAGATTTTTTTTTTCTTTTCCCCCGAGTTAATCAGAATACGTAACACGTGTTTAAACCGGATGTCACTTAAGGACAGAAAATTTTCAGCAGTAAATCCAAAAAACGAAAATGAATTTTTATGAATTTAAGGATATAAAAATATCTAACTTAAAATAATAAAAACTTATTCTGCTATTTAGAAAAGTGATTTAATTTCTTTAAAATAAATTTTTTAAAAACTTAGGCAAACTTATTTTTGAGCGTCTGATGATTGCTTTCAGTTTTCAGCGAAATTACATTTTCACTGAAACGAAACGTCAGACGCTATAAAAATAAATTTACTCGAGTACGGCTGTATTTAATGACTACAAAATTTACATTTGTACACACGTATAAGATAACATTTGTTAAATGGAATTTATTAAAAAGAAAAAAAATCTCTTGTGGATTTATACGAAGCAAATATTTTAAATCTTTCGTCCAATTGATTTAATTTTTATCACTTGCAAAAGCAAAAATTTCAGTGTACTCTTTTTGTTTCTATTTTTTTTTTTTTAAATGTTAATGGACCTTTCTACAGACAGAAAAACACCTCCCCAAGAGATTTAAAAGGTAAGTATCAATATGACTTAAAAATACAATAAATATTAACTTTAAAATAAATTATTTGAACTTTTGTAAAGTTAATTAATTAAAATATTCTTTTATCACATATGGTAGCATGAGTTTTTTTTTTTTTTTTTTTTTTTTTGGCTTCCGTAGAGGTTTAATTTACAATTTTGAAAATAAAGATCGATGATAGTATTAAAAACATTTTGAGAAAAACGTGATTATTCCTTGGAGAGGTGTGTTTCTGTAGAAAATATAACCATAAAATTAAATAACAAGTGAATTAGTTGCTTTTGCAATATAAACTAAAACAGTAATTTGATGATAATCCTTTTTAAATGATTAAAAAAATAAAAGATATACTTGATTTTTTATTATTTCGACGTTTATTTATACCCGGGATAGTTGATTGCAAGGATCGTTTCTGATATTACTAAAAACTTTAAAAAGTAATGTCTTTTTGATCTCCCATAACTTCTGATCATTACGTTGCCATGTGTAACCAGGGAAAACAACTGGAGGAGACAATGCCAGGTAAATAAGTTTTTCGTCATTTTGAATATCAAATTTGAATTCAATGTAATGAAAAATGCATAAAAAGAACGGATTCAGTAATATAAAAAGTAAGATAAATTATCTATTTTTATTTTTAGAATGAAATTTTGCCTCAGAAAATAAAAAAATCATTAAATTTTAATCGATAACATGCGGAAAAAAGAAAGTTAATCCCGTAAGTGTAGCAGTGTCAATTATCAGGTTCTGTCGTTTTTTAAACTCACTTGAATTTTAATCGAATTTTAGTTAATTATTTTTCTACATTTTATTTCATTCATTATTTCTAATACAGGTTAATGGTGAATCAAAGATAAATAAACAGATTATGGACAGAATTTTCATTTTTCTCTTTTTAAAGAAAAAGATTATCCCCCTGTGTAAAAAAAAAAAAAAAAAAAAAAATCTTTACAAAAAATATATGAAATTTTTAAATAATGATTTTTATTTTCATTATTATTTAACAAACTCATTGATACCACTCTTCCACAGCAATGTGTGTGACAGTAACACAGGCAATTCCATATTGCTTGTTCAATTGCTTGGCCTCATATTTTCGTTTCCTAAGGCTTATGTGCAGTACTACACAGCTTCTTTTAATTTTTTCACCTTCCAGAAATACTTCCAATTATTAATTATTTGTTGAACCACATCCCAGAGAGGATTTTTAGTGTAATCTCTTTTCCTCTAAACATGAATAGAATACTAGTTAGCTTTGTTTTTCACTTTTTGTTTATGAATTAGGAAAAAACAAAACAACTAAAAATTTATTCATAGAATGAACTAAAAAGAAAATAAAAATGTCATAATTTCTATTCGTAGCAATAAAAATAATAAATATCTTAAAGCTAGTAAATAAATACAATTTTAAAATGGAAAAATTTGGATATTTGTCAATCAAAATGAAATTACTTATTTTATGTGCTATATCGCTTCAGGTGGTAGGTGATCATGGCTCTCCACAGCTTCCTATACTTTGTAAATCAATGAATTTTGTTTCTTTACCATCCTTCCCAATCCTCGTTCTGCTGTTCATTTACACAGGATCATTTGGTAGGTTATTCACTGCTTACCTCCTCTCTTTCTTCATTATGTACCCCAGAAATTTCAATTCTCTCTGATTCTGAATAAGTGTCTTTCTTGTTTCCATTTTCCTTAAAACTTCTTCGTTTATCACATATTCCGTCCATGGTATTTTCAGCGTCCTTATCTAGAACTACATCTCTGTTGCCTTCTTAAGTCTTCTCTTCATATGAGGAGAAATTATCAAGCATTCATTGTCATATAAGAGGACAGATATTGCATAACAGTTCAACACTTTTTGTTTCTAAAAAATGTTTCCTGGTTCATAATACTTTGTTTAGCTTTTAAAGTGCATTAAATTTTAGTTTAAAAAAAAAAAATGAAGTTCTTTTTGTTTTTTGCAAGAGAGAGAAAATTCAAATATTTTGTAAGTGTTCCAGTTTTTGGTGTGCTTTTTTTCTTTTTTTTTTTTTTTTTTTTCAAACCAGAAATGTGAAAACTCATTTATTGCTGCTAGCAGTTAAAAAATAAATTTTAGTATGAATGTTACTCCCATTTTTGTAAAATATTTAATGAGTACAGTCATTATTGGAAAATATCAGCATCACAAAAATAATGTTGTCAAGTAACACCAGTTATCTAATTTTGTGATATGGACTTGTACCTTATTTAAATAAAATGTATAATATTAATATATAAAAATAATCTATATTACTATACAGAAGTTGGTGTTTAAAATCATAACCAAATAGATACTCCTAAGGTATCAGTTTTTTCTGTAGATATCTGTAAGTAAAAATAAGGAAAGACGAATGAATTAAAATGTCCAGTGGTAAGGAAAAGTCATTTTCCATATGTGACAGATGTTTAATGTCTAGAGAGCAAGTAGTGACTTTGCAAAAACAAATTTTGAAATCGTTCCACAGCAGACATCCTGGGATATCTCACATGAAAGCATTGATGTGAAGTTATGTATACTGGAAGGTCATGGATCAGGATGTTGAAGATCTACTGAAGTCTTGCCAAGGTTGTGTGTTAGCAGCTAAATCGCCACCAGTAAAAATTCATCCTTAGCCAAAAACAAAAAAGCCAGGGACCAGGTTATATATGGATCATGCAGGACCAATGAATGGCTGATACTATTTAGTAATAGTATATAGTTTTTCTAAGTGGCAAGAGGTGGTAAGATGTAACTGAGCTACAACCAGGGGTACCATTAAAATATTACAAGAACTGTTTGCCAGATTTGGAATTCCAGACACAATAGTAACAGATACCATTTACAGCAACTGAATTCAATTTTGCAGAGAACAGACTGTCAAACATGTAATGACGCCACTGTAGCACCTGAGATCAAATGGATGCACAAAAAATTTGTAGATACTTTTAAAAGAGCCTTGAAAAAGTCAAGTGGGGGAGAAGAGATAGAAGAGTCACTTCAGCAATTTTTGGCTGCTTATAAACAAACTCCAAACCCAAACACACTTGATGGTACTTCACCAGCAGAACAAATGTTTAATCAGAAAATAACATCAGCATTTGATAAACCGTTGCTGATGAGTGCACTGGTAAATAAAATTACATTTTTTCAAAAAGGTGAACCATTATTATTTCAGGTTTACCAAGTAAGTAAACAAAAATGGGAACCATGAAGGATCTACAAACGCATCAGCAAAGTAGTGCATTTGATTCAGGGAAAAAATGGTTTAAACAAGAGGCATATAAATCAATTAAGACCCAGGAAATATAAAGAAAGGGGTTAGACATTATTATTGGTAATTTTTTCCTGATACTCACTCCAGTTGTTCGAAACAAGACTTTTTTTTTTATGGGAGAAGATGTCATATCCTAAGTAATGAGGTGGACTTGGCAACACATGTATAAATGTAAGTACAGAACATGGAACTGGAAAGAGAGCAAAAGCCATATTGAGTGGTACAATACAGTAATAATCTGCAGCTGAAATTACTGCAAGAGTGGACTGAACTCAACAAAGTAATAGACACATTACAACACTTTCATAGGATAGTGCATAAAGCCAACATTTCAGTAACTGCATTGGAAGATAAAACTTACTTATGGGTAGGTTTTTAGCTGATTCAGGTTTAAGACAAGGGTATGGACTGTAGTCACGACGCCAAAAAGGACCTACTGGAATGGGGTAGTTGTCTCTTGGTATCCTCAGTGGCACCCACTGCCAAAGCCTTCAGACACACTCATTTTATAGATCATGATGAAGCAGCTGATTGGTTGAGAGGGAGAATTTTACATATGCGTAGACACACTCTGTTAATTTTCTTTTAATTGCTCTGCGACACCATACACATGCAATGTGTGGATGTTTTCGGGCATGATGTCGTGTATCTTGCTCACAACAATCACGTGGGCTAACATTTTATCAAGCGTCCTTGATATTATGTTATATCCAAAAGTATAACTATTTGGATGCTATCATCTGACAGAAGACATTTTCAGATTTCAGAGTTTCAAGTATTTTTGAAGTTGAGAAAATAGATGTGTCAGAATCATTAAAATGAAAATTTCAACTAACAATGAAAATAAAAGTAACATCTTTTAAAAACATAAACCAAAGATAATATCAAGTTTTAATTTCATGTATTCTCCACCTCAACCCAAATTTTTTAAACTCAAGAAGCTTACAAACCTTTTTCTCATCAATTTGGCATCATGCTTCTATTTTCTGATCTTAGTTTGCATTGCTTTCATTTCTTGTGACATTTACAAAAGCCTTCTCATAACATGATATTTTTATTTAGTTGTCATTACTTACTAAGAAAAAAAGTCTATATCGGAAAGTGGGCAACAGTTATACTCTTTAATATCATTCTAATTTTGTCATTACTGAAAGAGTAAAAGGTAACTTGTGGTGATCTACTTGTGCAATGTGCTATAAGTTAAACTGTAATTTTATCTCCAATTGATGTGTTTTATGTTCTTTAGAAAATTTATTTGTATTTTTTTTTGTATGTCCATTTTCTACAACTGTGCTGTTAAAACCAAGCCAGATGAGGGATCAGCTACCAGGCTCTGCTCATCTAGAGATTTGGAGGTTCACCCATATATCATATCAGCATAGATATTCTCATATTATCAGTTATTCTTAGGTAGATCATTTATTAAAGTAGAGGGTTGAACCAAGAAGTGAGCTTTGGGGGATGTCTGGATTAATCACTTGGGCCTCAGAGGACTGGCAATTAACAACTACTTTCAGGAAGTTAGGAATGATATGATAATTGAGAAGACTTTTCCAGTGATTCCATAACTAGAGAGCTTGTGCCACACCTTTGAAATATCTAATGCAATTGTCCTTGAGATGCATTTGTTCCCTAGTGCCTCACTGATTCTGGAGTAATGACAGTTAGGATTTCAATAGTGAACTGAGCCAGTCAAAATCTGTATTGCTTCTCACCCAAGAGTTTGTCCCTATTGAAGTGATCAACAACCTTCTCGTTAATAATAATTCAAAAAGTTTTCTAATGGCACTGAGGCAGCTGATGGGTCTTAAGTATATTAAATAAAGAAAGAAGGAAAAATGTTGTTAAGTAACTTTGAAATTATTATGCACTGGACAGCCACAGACCTAGTGGAGGTCTTTAAATTTTTTCCACAGCATTGTAAGTTATACTTTTTGGTAAAGAGCATAGTTGAGGATAAATAAGTGGATCATACACTATTACTAACTGGAGAAAAAGGTCTTAGACATTTTAATTCATGGTCTTTTGAAAATAGAGCTGACAATTGTAATCCTATTATTTGGCAAAAATTTGAAAAACAGGAACTTCTAATTAATTTTAGAATTACAAAGGTACAGACAGAAAGACTTTGAAAATATTAATGATTTTGTAGCAAGATTCTGACTACAAGTGAAAAAATGTAAATTCACTGATACTAAAGAAACTAAGGAACATTTAATTGAGCAAATAATTGCAGGGACTTGA